AGCAATTTGAATTCTCATACATTGCTGATGTGAGTATAAATAGGTAGAAATCCTTTGGAAACTAATTTCTTCACTAACCTGAGGATCCAGTAATTTATTCCTAGGCTTGTACCCCAAAATACATGGACTTTTGGTTACCAAAAGATCCAAACAAGAAAGCCAATAGCAACACTACTTGCAAAAGTCTCAAATTAGAAACACCGTAAGTATCAAGAGTAAAATGTGTGTCAACAAAAGAATGTCCAGCCTAAGAAATAAAGTCTTGTAAGAGTTTATCTGAGCCAAACTTACAATTGCCAGGAAGCAAAATCTCAATGGATTGAGAAAATGCTCTGGAGAATGGCAGTTTTACAGTTTATTTTATACATTATAACCAAAGGAGATCTGAGGAGGGTTAGGTGAAATCCATTGGCGGTAGCTTAGGGAAGCGGGAGAAAGCCACTTGGGGAAATTGCTGAGATTGGAAACCAAGCAGAAAACATGAGGCGTCTTGCTCAATTCACGTAGTTACCAAGTGGTGAAGCAGGGATTCAAACTTGGGTCTCTCTGACCTCCGGGCCTGCAAAGATCTTGAAGTGGGTGTGACTAAATGAAGGGATATTTGTGAGTGTGCAAAAGCGGGCAGTGGTATGATGGGAAAAGAGCAGAAAACCAGGAGCCAGAAGCATGGTCCCACCACTAACTCACTTCATTCATTTGTTCATTCATTCATTCAGCAGATAGGTATTGAGCACTTACTGTATGCTAAGCACTACTACAGGAGCTGGGGAATGAGGCAGCGAACAAAACATACAAATATGCCTGCCTCATGGAGTTCGTATTCTTGTGGGTGTGAAAGACTATAAACAACATAAATTCAGTTTCCTTCCACATGATTTTATAAGGGAGCCTCACAAGATGTCTACATAGGATGGTATAGTATAGTTGGAAGAGCACAGGCTTTGACGTCAGGATTCCTGGGTCTGAGTCCTGGCTCTGCCAACTCCTGGCTGTGTGACTCTGGAAAAACTACTCAACCTCTCTGAGCTTCTGTTTCTTCAACCAGAAAATGGGAATAATAATCCCTATCAGCCAAAACTGTTAGGATGAATACACGATGGTTATCACTGATGCTGCGCGTCTGAGGCTACCCTGAGTTCTCCCAGCCCATGGTTCCCTGAAGAAGCCCTGGTTTCTGAGTCTCAGCTGATGGAGGCGTCTGCCAGGGGACCCACTTAGTCAGCTCTGTTCAGCCATCAGACATGAGCTGCTTTTCACACTCCCAGTACAAGTGGCCCTTTCCACTGAAAACTGGCCACCTTGTCTCCTAATTTCCTGAAACGACACGCAGCCCCTTTCTGTTCACAGGAACAGGGAAGCAGGTAAGGAGAGAGAGCTGGGCTCAGAAGAAAGTGGAGCCCCAGGAGCTGTGTGCAGCTGCAGGCTTAATCTCAATGAACAAAAGCCACCTGGGGAACCGGCTGTGCTGGGCTTGGCTGGGGCCCGTTTGTTTGCAGGCTGTGGGTTGCCAGGGCTTTGTTAGCAGCCCCCAGCGAGGCACTCGCAGGAAGATTTTCTTTGCTTTTCCTGGATGCAGCCCTGACAGGCAGCCTTCACTTTATAACCTGGCCTACATGTAAGGACCGCGTTCCGCGGCGGGGCCAGGTGTGGAGAGGCTGGGAGGTTGAGTTTTAATCAGAATGGTCTTCCACCCTGAACACTGCTGCTTCCAGACTAATGACTTTCCTTCCTTGAAACCCCTTAACACACACACACACTCCTCTTTATACATAGTCCCTTCATGCACTCCTCACAGTGTGTATATTCATATGCCATTTAACCAAGTTAGCCTCTCGTGGGTCATGGAAATGTCAGGCAGATCAGTAGCTCTGTGCGTCCCTGCCGACCACGGCCTCCCCACTGCGCAGGTCCCTGTGACAGGTAGGTCACCAGACTCAGCAAATAAGAACACAGGATGCCCACTTAAATTAGAAATTCAAATAACAAGTGACTTTCAGTTAAAATATGTCATGTGCAATACTTGGGACATATACTAAAAATTATTGGTTATCTGAAGTTCAAATGTAACTGTGCATCCTGTATTTTATCTGGCAACCCTAATTACAACTTGTCTCTGATGCTCAATAAATATATACATGAATGAAGACGTGAAAGAGGCTAATGCATGATCGAAAACAAAACCAAATGCAGGCATTTTGCCAGAAAGTACAAACCAACATCTTAGGGGTGATTATTTCATTTTTCTATGCAATTTTCTGTGTTTTTCAGTTTGCTGCAATGAGCAGAAAACTTTTCAAATATCAGATAGGTATGTATTTATACTTATATATACACACATCAACTTAAAAAAATAAATCTTCTTAAAGGAAAAACAATTTGTGTTTTCCCTCATCCTGAAATCCAGAATTTTCTGAACACAGCCCCGTGGTAAGGGATATTTTGAGCATCCATGGGAAGATTGGAAGCGATATTGAGAGGCCTACATAGAATATCAGTAAGCCAAAGTACACAAATGGGTACAAAGGAGTTCAAAAAATATCGCTGCTATTTTATTTATAACTTAAGAATATTGGCTCCTGAAGCTTTGGGGATGAAAGATAAATCTAGTAAACCCAAGATACAAATCTTGATTAAATTGTACATAATATACTGGGGATTACTTGATCTTTTTTCTTTGATTTGCAGAGTGAAGTAGAAAACAAAACAAGACAAAACATAAGCTCTTATAGAAACGAAAATGAGCTGAAGACCTGTCTCCCTCCCCCACCACACATACAACTTCCCATCATGCCAAGCACCATTCAAATTTGTCTTTTGGGTGTTCGGTGATGCACACGTTCAGAACGCTACGCCTTAATGGAGCAAGAAAGGAAAAGAACTAGAATTTGTTAAATGCTTACTACATGCTGGGCACTGAGCATACAGCACTTTGTCTCGTTTCATTCATACAAACAACCCAAGTTACACACATTAACCGTATCTTAGAGCAATGTGACTTAATGATAAAGGCTGTTCACAATCACACCTCCAGAAGTCCTGTGACATGCTTAATAGCTGTGGGAAGAGTCACTCAACATTTATTATGCTGTACTTACTAAGGCATAAAGCATTTATTAGAAGGAATTAACATGCAATTTTGGGTCGGCTTAAAGTCTCATAACACCCATGTTGTAGGGGGAAAAAAATGGGACCAGAATGGTATCACTCTTGCCTGTTCAGTGATGAGGGACAGGCAGAAAGGGTAAAATGCTAAGTCTGTCTTTATGAACAGTCCCTGGTCTTAAAAAGAGAAAAATGAGCTGGTTGAACTTTCGGAGAAGGAAAATGTGACTTTGGACAAAAAGCCTGTATGGCGAGAGCACTTCCTCATTTGCAGGGTGGAGAGAGGGGGAAGAAAAGGCAATTTGATGATTGCTGAGGATGGGGAAGAAAGAGCTGCCTCCATTTCATTCTTTACATGGCCGCATTTTGAATAGGCCACTCTAAAACTCTGATTAAATCCACTGAGCCCGTGCCAGAATTAGACTCTGCCTTGTCTCAGTGGTGCATAAACTGTTACAGACCTGTTTCCAAGTCACACAGAACCATCTCCTTTTCAACAGTGGAGTAGCATTTGAGCAAATTGTCTATTAAGTGAAGTGTGTTAATTAAAGATGGAGAGAGACAGGTTTAATGCACTGATTCCTCCAGAGGAATGTCCCTAAACACACAGTGACATTTCAATTATTCTTCCATTAGTAATCTCTGAATAAAGACCTTTTTTCTTGCCTTTGCCAGTAAGTAAGCACTCCTTGGTATGCATATTTAAATAACAGTCATACTGAATTAGCTTTAAGAATCGGCTCTTAACATAATGGCTGCATTAAAACGTGGAGCAAAATGAGACAGACAGAGCTCCACGCACAAGCAAAGGGCAGAAAGTAAGAGACAATGCAAGCTTTATCTTCTAAGCCTTGGATTATGATCATGGCCCTTAAGAGCAGATCACATAGTTAGCTCCAGCTCTGTTAAAACCTGTTTGGTGCCCTGGCTGGTGTGGCTCAATGGATTGAGTGCTGGCCTGAGAACCAAGAGGTCACTAGCTCGATTCCCACTTGGGGGCACATGGCTGGGTTGTGGGCCAGGCTCCCAGTTGGGGGCAAGCAAGAGACATCTGATCCACATGTTCAAAGATCACATTGATCTTTGCATACTGATGTTTCTCTCCCTCCCTTCCCCTCTCTGTAAAAAATAAATCTTAAAAAAAAACCAAAACTCTTGGTGAGAAAGACAGCACCCACCTTTTTCCAACCCACAGATACAGCTGGCTGCTTAAGAAGCTTGCTACAAGGAAACCCATTTTAGTGCCAGTCATTTAAAGAAGAAAGTGCTTTGTGCAAGTTCTGAAGATCAACCTCATGTCAGCCAGTGATGCCATCCTTTTTACCCAAAGTGTCTGCCCCACAGTTAACAGGGAAAAGGGATCTAATGAGTAAGAAAACATCTGATCTCATTCCTTCAATCTATTTAATTACAGTGTTTTAAAAAATAAAATTTGGCTCTGGCTAGGATGGCTCAGTTGGTTGAGTGTCATCCTGCAAAGCGAAAAATCATCAGTTTGATTCCTGGTCAAGGCACATGCCTAGGCTGTGGTTCTGTCCCTGGTCAGGGAGCATTTGAGAGGCAACTGATCAGTGTTTCTTGCATCGATGTATCTCTCCCTGCCTTCCCCTCTCTCTAAAAATAAATATTTTAAAAAAAATGAAATCAAATAAAATTTGACCCCAAGAGCAAGAGAAACTGTGACAACTGGACCAAGCAGTAGTTATTGGTGACAGTGGAACAATTATTTTGTTTTCATCATCAGGTCAAAGACACCAAGGAGAACAAAAGTCCTTGCGGAAGATCCTACTAAGGACTTTGCAAATGCACACCTAGAAATCAAGACAGGTTGTTTATATCACAGTATTGGGGATGAAGGGGGGAGTGTCTCCATTCAGAGAAGCAGTAAAACCACCTACCACAAATTAACCAGGAAAGGATGTTCCAGACCCTGCATGATCTGGAGCTCCTTGAAGACATTTCTCACTTCATTACGCTCGACACACTTCTGTTTGTTCATGTATTTCATTGCATACATCTTCTTGGTATCATTCTTCTGAACGATGCAGACCTAACGGCAAACGAGAGCGAGAAAGTGGTTAGGGAGATGACAGATCATAGTAATGACTGACAGTACAAGACGCGTCCTTCAGCGGGGCTTGGAGGCCTTATCTCTTGCCAATTCTCTGATGTGAAAGTTGCCGCTTAGTTCTAATTTCAGAGTTAAAAACTTCTAATTGACCTGCTGCACCAGGTCAACTCCTAAATCTCTGCTTTCCCAGACAAGTTTGCCTGGTTTTGCTTTAGGGATTTTTTAAAAAAACAACATTTGAGAGAAAATAGCTGCCTCTTTGTCAGGGGTCTTCCCCTAGAAAAAGGTACCCTTATTCTGCTTTGAGTGACTTAAAGGAGTGGACTACACTGTCAAGCTGAATGATATTATGCAAAGAATTTTTGTTTATGACCATAGGTGATAGAACTAACCAGCACTGGGAGAACATGAAACACAATGTCCATACTTTTGAAACTTGCTTAGAGGTTTCTATAATCCCTGATAATATACACAGCAAATAATTTTAAAATGCAAGTTCAATATAAAATATGAAATATTCTCAAGAAACAGCTCCCCTAAGAAACTAAGAATCAGGATTTGAATCTAGAAGTTTCTTACGAAAAGTTAAGACTGGATATGTATATTTTTCATGGTAAGTTTTTGTTTTTTTTTTTAATAAAAACGTGATACAACTTGGAAAAAACAAGTCAGGTGCCATCTTTCCCACACGAAAAGATTTACTGCTTACATTGATGAGATACTTGTTATTACGGAATGTAGTGGTAACAATTGGAAAATGATTCTGAAATCTTACTCTCTCCATTAGAGTAGAGAGGGAGTCTTAAATTCCAGTGAGAGTAAACAGATTTGACTTTGAGGTAATTCTGAGGTGTTCATTATGCACTGTATTTTGCCATGTATAATGCAAAATGCGCACCCATGTTCTTGGCCCAAACTCTCAGGAAAAAAATGTTTTTGTTTTTTAATTTTAAGTTTATTTTAATTTTTTAATCCAATTATTTATTTATATTTACACACTTGTCTTTTGTATTATAAAGGAATTTTAGCATTTATTTTTGAGCATATTATGGTATAAGAAATTTTATGTGAACAAATAATTACAAGACATAAAAAATGGTACAAGGTATTTCAGGTCCCCTGTATAATGTGCATCCTTATTTTTCCCCTTAAATTTGGGCAAAAAAGTGCATATTATACACAGCAAAATATGTTAGCTGCCAGTCTCACGTTTTCTTCAAATTGTGGTGATGATTTTATAAAAACCCATTATGAAAACATCTCTGAATTATCATTCCTTGTGTGCCCCGTAACTTGGTAACCCGAACACTAGACTCTCTGTTCCCTAAACCACATAACCCTGCTGGTGGTTAATCATTGGGATTCTCACCTTCCCAAAACTGCCTTTCCCAATGGCTCGCAAAATTTCAAAGTGGTCAAAGTTGACTGTAAGACAAACAAAAGAACATTGTGAGTGATTATCAGTTGTCCTTTAGTAGCTAATAAATAATAAGATTGGACTAAACCAAAGTACCTTGTTTAAAACAATATTCCAGACTACCCTAAAACACCCATTTATTCATCCAATAAATACTTCTTGAACCCAATATTATATTATGCCTTAAGCACAGTGCTTAGTACTGGGGGACATAGTAATTACAGAGTAGAAATCTAATCTCTACCTGTAGGGAGCCTGTAGTCTAGGGAGTGCTCCATAGAAAGAAACCCGTAAGGGTTAAACAGCCACAGAATAAGTGGACATCTAAAACTCCTGATGAACGTTAAGGATAAAGTTGTGAGGCTCTAAGAGCACATAATAAGACTGCACACAGGTGGCAAGCTTGGGGGCAGCGCCTCTGAACACAGACGGTTACGGGGAGGTCTGGTCTTCTGTGGATCTGGCTCGGCCAAGGATCAGCACTTTAAATGTCTTCTCCCTGCCTGCTTCTCCCTACAACCACTCTTTTGCATCTTAATAATTCAACTGCCCCAAGTAGGACACTATGACGCTTGTTAAGTTCATAGAATGAGCTGATCCCCAAGGTCACATCTAAGGGATTAGCATGAACACATGTACAGAGGTCTGTTGAAGGGCGCTGTGAAGTTGAGATGATCTTTCCCATCCGCCGTTTGAACACTTCAGCTGCGAGAAGTCAGGAGCAGTAGGTGTTTAGAGGTAGCCTGGTCTCTTGGGTCAGCACTCATGAAGTGCTTGGTGATAAGAAGAGCAAAGTACAGATTCTCTTAGGTGACAATCTGGTTTCTTGCCTCGATGACTTTCAGAAAATGTTCCATTTGCTCCCTGGTTTTTGAAAGGATTTAGGTGAGTAAAATTCCAAATGAGTGATCATAAGAGTTTATTCAGAAAAGGTTGAGAAACACTGAAAGGTACCACTCTTCTCTTTAAAAGATATATTTTGACTCTCTTTAAAAAAAGAATAATTAGATTAGCTCTTCCTGAAGGAAAGAGAAATGAGTAAAGGGACCGCTAAGGTTTTTCCAAGCTTTCTGCGGGTCAAAACATTTCTATAATGTAACTTACAGCTGAAATAGGGGCCACACAGTAAACCTGACAAGCTTTGCAGACTTGAAGGAAAAGCTTATGTTAAGCCTGACAAGCTTAGGGGAGGCCTGCATGGCGGCCTGACAGACTCAGGGGCCTAAAGGAACCACATAGGATGGTCTGAAATCAAAACTTCCCAACTAAAAGCGAGTCATGGCGGGGAGTCATGTCCTAGGCTGGAATCTTCCTGACAAAGGTCAGTCTTCCCCTTAACTGAGGCTGGCTGTCGATTTTTTGCGCCTTTGACAACGGAGCTTCGGCTCGTCAGGGCCGTCCTCTTTTTCCAGACCCTTCAGGGCACAGTCACTGCCCCAGAGCACAGAACCCCTCATTGTTATCCTCTGCCCCACATACCATCTCTATGTGCTGTAAATTTAATTGTTAACTATCCTCCATCCACTGATGGAAAAGCAGTTTGTCTCTCCATTTCCGTCTCAGAGATGTCCCCGCTTTGCTTTCTCCTGCCTCCCCAATTATCACCGGCGGATTTCATGGAACCCCCTTCCGTCTTCTCCTGTGATTGTAATGTATAAAATAAGTGGTAAAACTGCCATTTTTCTGGAGCATTCTCTCAATCATTTGAGATTTCGCTTCCCGGCAACTGTCGTCAGTTTAGCTCAAATAACTCATAAAAATTCTCTACATTAGGTTTGGATGTTTCTTACGTCCGACAGACTTAGTCATCACTTCCTTCTCTGAACTCCCAAATCACTTTATGTCTAGCACAAATGCCATTTAATCATGCGAGGCAGTATGTATATTACAAATAATCCTGGATTTAGACTCAAAATAATGATGCGACATGTGGTAATGACAGACTCTCCCCATCTCCTTTTTCTCATCAGTAAAAATGAGACTGACCCTCCTAAATAAAACACCTTTTCTCAGGAAGTGCTAATTAGGTTGTTTTCTTTCTTAACATAGTCAAGTGAATGACCTATCTTCCAAAACTCCTTGAGTTCTGAGGTTCTTTCACCAACTAGAGCATAAGTTCTATGAGGGCAGAAATAACATGTCATTTTGCTCATCCTGGTTTCTTTAGCAACTCAGAAAATTCCTCCTTGTATTTCTTTTCCATAGAGCCTAGCACAGGATTTACCTGTGGTTGGTTCTCAGCAAATAAATCAAACTAAGGTGTACGATACACAAGAACCCCCAAACAACTGCATCTTATAAATATGAACATTGTGAGCATTTGAGATTTCTAAGGAATTGCTTTTCAAACTGAGTCAAGAACCACTAATGAGTTAGAAAATAAGTCAGCAGTAATGAAAAGTGTTAAAAATTTAAATAGAACAGACTTAAAATATCAGAATACCTCAAATGTACAATAGTATGTCTGTGTATAGGTAGATATGGAGGGGATCATATAATTTGAGGGTGTATTTCTTACTGTGGGTTATCAAAATAACTTTAAAAACACTTCTCTGAATTTCCTCTTGAGTTTCAAACTGACATACCCAAATAATGATTTTCTCACACTCATTCCATGAGGCTGAGTTATATATTATGTACTATGGAAGTGTTAAAAAAAAAAAACTGACCAGAATTTATTTGCAAGTCCAAGATTTTATCTTGAGCAAATCCAGTAACTCACTGTGATTTCTCCACCAGCAGCCTAGCCCTGGAATCTCAATGCCTACACACAGCAGGTACCTAGAAAGCATGAAGTCCCATTGTGATATTAATCCATTTCATGAACCACGTCTCTTTAGAAGCCTTTTTATACTTGGGTGAAAAGGATAAAGGGTCAGATGCCAGGTTACTGATACATTTCCACTAGCAGAGCTGCCTCAGTTAACATCAGGTCCCAGAAAAGTGACAGGCCTATAGTTTTAGAGGTAATGCATTTTATTCATGCCTTTATTTCAAGTCAATCAAAGAAAGAACAGACTCCAGTCTAATACCATAGTGCTTAAAATCACTTCTATGTATAATAATATACCCGACAAGAAAGCCAAAAACAGAGAGGTATCCTTATTCACCCTTACGAGTCCCTCCTATGTACAGTAACACTCCCAATGAGACAATAAAATCCCATCACCAAAGGATTACAGAATATAAGTGGTTTTGGAGAAAAATTTTAAACTTTAATGTTGATTTCCTAGCATTTCATCATTTATAATACATACCGCCAAAGAAATGTCGTACCCACAACTCACTGTCAAAAGGCTTCTTAATGTGGTGGGCAATAAAGTGTGTCTCCATTGGAACGCTGTTCTAGTGGTACAAGGTCAGGATCCTCTGAGGACAGTGGATGTACACCTTAAAAACCTCCAAGTCGACTTACTCATTTTCTGAGCTCCGAAGTATGGGGAATTGCCATTCTAGACCCCATCGACTTCACAACGACCAACCGTCCTAAGCGAGGACTGCAGGGTAATTTACAGCAGGAGTCAGAGGGTGTTTGCTCTGTGAGCCCTACACCATCTCTGAACAGCAATCAGTGCATCACCCTGTGCAACAGAAAGGTACTGACATAAAGGACAATCGTTCATATACTTCATCGGAATGAAGACAGAATCGTGCCTCTTCTATGTCATTGTCACTTTGCCCATTTGTAAGAATGGACACTGCATGATTTGCCAAGTGTCTGCCTTCAGGGAGGTGATATTCTTGGCAATGTGTCCTGGTTGAAGTCCCGATGTCATTTTGCCGAATGTTTTGCCAAATGATATTCTGGGCTGATGACTCACATAGTAACAATAACAAAACAACAACAACAACAACAACAACAACAAAAGAAACAGCATTTTTAAAGGAATGTAAAAAATTAATAATAAAGAATATGCCACAGAGACCAAAATATTTGCAAGCTGGACCCTAATAGAAAGGTTTGCCCAAAAAGGGAGAAAAAGGACTGAAAAAATGAAGTTTTTATTAAAAAATATAGCTCTTCCGGTGAATTTTAGAGTTTTCTATTCATTAGATGAATGTTTAGTCATCATACTACATTCCCAAATGGAGCCGTTACAAAGAAAGGCTCACTTATACCCATTTAAGGCAGTCACAGTAGAAGAGGAAAGAAGCTAAAATCACTTTTGCAGAAGCCACAGCTTTGCTAGCAAGTTGAATAAACAAATGTCCATTGAGCATCTGTGTGCCCAGGACTCCGCTAGGCACTGATGAGAAAACAAAAGGAGCTTGGGACTAAGTCACAGCCTCAGAAAACTGAGTGTGACTCATTCAGCAGTGTTTGTGAGAACATGAAACCTGGGCAATCAAACATGCCATACCTCATTCTTATTTATTTTATTTTTTTATAGTGTATATCTTTGGAATCCAGGCTTTCCATTTCCTGGAATTAGATGAGTATAAATAAATAGGTATATAGCAAGTAAGTAGACAAATAAAAGCAATAGAGTTAATATTTGGTGTAGAAAGGTTCTCTGGACCTTCGGAGAGGGGAAAGAATATTGCAGCATGAAAATTTTACTTCTTGGTTCCTAATGAAGATAGAATGCTTTGATAAAAGGTGAAAATTATTTGGGTCAGGCAGGATTGCATTAGAACTCTAGCTCTACTATTTTCAAAACAAATACAATTAGGAAATTTACCTGACCTTTCTGAGCTTCAATTTCTTGTTCACGATTAAGATTATTTTTTACATAATACTAATATACTTTTGGTATACAAAAAATAGAAAAAAGTAAAAAACCAAAATCACTGAAAGATAATCATGATTAACAGTTTGATTAATTTTTCTGTCTTCTTCATGTTCTTATTTTTATCAAAGTTATATATCTTTACATTTATATACAGTTTAAAGAGTCAAATAGTTCTAAAAGGTGTATTGTAAAGCACTGATATTAGATTTGTGATCCATCTATCTCACTTTCCAATCTCTCCAAGAAACTAACACTTTTACCTCTTTTGGCTAACA